ATCTAAAGTTGTACAAGTATCTAAACTTCTCCTCTCTTCTTCTTCCTTCTTGCTGGTTAGAACTTGTTTTTGTGATAATTTGTTGGTTTTTACAGTTTTCTGATGCATTAAATTCATTATTGTGATGATTGGTACATGACTTTTTCATTGGTTATGGGGCATGTTGTAACCTTAAAATTTACCAGATGTGTGCGTGTGATAAATAACAGACTTTTTTTTCCATAAAAATAATGTTTTTTAAAAAAAATCTATGATTAAGAATTAAATAAAAAAATTATGATAAAATTGTGAACCTTGACATCCTTTATTCATTCCGGTGATTCTCTGCATTCAAGTACTGGTCTAGTATATTTATCATATCATATACTTAGTTACAAGGATTAAAAATATCTTAATTTCAGTCTTTTGGAAGGGTTTGTTCCTGCCTCATTCAGAAGCTAAGATAGGTTGAGTTTTAGTTTGTTATCCTTTTAAAAAGGATGGTATGTCAATTAAACAAATCTAAATTAAAATAGAGAGACTATTCTAAAATATATGTGTGTTACAAGCAAAATGAAAGCAGGCACAAACTTAAAAGAGGGAAGCTGAAGTAAAGCTTGAAATTTAAATACAAGACCTAACGACTACGTTTTGTGCATTTTCATTTTTATAACTGTAGCCTAGCTGGCAGGACCACGTGATTAATGCCATGCTGGTAATTGTATTTTTGTCTTTAAATTCCCTAATGGTTGGAACATAATGGGTGTGGAAAATTATAATAGAATTCTTAGATTCTCTCCTTTGTCCTTTCTCTCAACACGTCCTAAACATGTAAATCTTTCTTCTTCTTTCTCTAACGTCCTTCTCCCTAGTTCTTTCATCATTCTATTTGAAGCTTTCCTATTAACCTGCAACAAATTGGTATCAGAGCCCATGTCTTTGGACTCAGCAAAATGGCACCAGAAACCAGGTCCCAAGTCGTAAGAAGAATGGATGATTCTTTAGAAGCTGTTAATAAAAAAGTCAATGGAATAAAAGTCAAGTTGCACACTCAATCCGATGACCTAGCACAGCTTAAAGCTATGATGAAAGAAATGGCGAATCACCAAATCTTTATTAAACAAACTCTACAAACCTTAGCGGGTAAGACAAGTTCCTCCTAGAACGTTCAAATGCCCCAACACCCTGCTCTTGCCAGCAACCAAGATTGGATAGGAGAAGGACCATCTACCTACAGGTCACGTAGACCCAGAAGAGATTTCCTTTCTTTTGAAGGGGAAGAAGTACATAAATGGTTGTACAAATGCAATCAGTATTTTGACTTGGAGGAAATCCCTGAAATAGACAAGTTGAAATTAACTTCGTATTATTTGAATGGCTTGGCACTTTACTAGTATCAGAATTACATAGAAACCTGGAAGGACATGAGGTTACATGGGCAGAGTATGTGGAGGCCTTGTGTTATCGGTTTCGAGTTCAAAAGGACCCCTTAGAGGAGCTCACCAAGCACAAGTAGGAAGGGGACTTTAAAGGTTATATCAGGGACTTTGATATGTCATGGAATAGAGCATAAAATTTTGAAAAGCAAGCCTTGGTGTTCTTCCAAGGAGGCTTGGAGATAGAGATTAAGAACCTAGTAAAGATGTTTGAGCCAAAATCACTCAAACAAGTCTATAACCTAGCTAGGTTGCACAACAACACTCTCACATACCGGAAAATAACCCCTCATTACCCAAAAAAACAGAGTCAGGCAAGTCCCCACTCATAGCTTGTAAAATTTATATATCCTGCCAACACTTACAAAACAAACCCCAATCACCCCCTCATTCCTTTAAAACCTTCCCCACAAGCCTTGCTGCCTACACCTACCAACCCACCCCTCAACAATAATAATGTTTGCCCCAACCATAAACCTACCAGACCTATCAGAACCAAGGAAATGGATGAAAGAACACCCAAGGGCCTTTGCTTTTGGTGTGATGATAAGTTCGTATTGAGGTATACATGCAGAAATTGAAGGCTATACTCATTATGTATAGTAGAAGATGATGGAGACAATTCAGAAGAAGAGGAATCGGTGGAGACAATGAACGCAGAAGCTCTCACCCCTCATTTATCACTCTAAACAATCCATAACACAACGGGGTGTCAAACCATTAAGGTATGGGAAAAGGTAGATAAATGTCCCATATTAATTTTGATTGATTCGAGTAGTACTCATAACTTCCTCCACGCTGATCTGGTTGACAAACTGGGATGCCCCACGACAACCATAAAACCTATAGTGGTTGAGGCAATTAATGGTAGCACCATGTCCTGCACTTCAATATGTAAGAACCTATAATGAAAGATGTAAGGAGTTCAGTTCCAGGCCGACATATTTGTTATAAAGTTGCAGAACTATGATATGATTCTAGGAATCCAATGGTTGAAGTTGTTGGGAAATGTATTGTCCAACTATGAAGATAAATGGGTATCCTTTTGGTGGCAGAATAGAGAAGTAACTCTAAGAGGAGAAAATCCTAGGTTAGCTCAATCTATATGCCTGAAGGAACTAAATGGACTGCTAAGCACTAAAACCTTACTATCAGAAGTCAGGCTTTGCAGTTTAAGAGTGGTGGGAAAGGCTGACCTGGTAAGCCCTGCTCAAGGAGTACCCCATGCTTGGGAAAACAATGAAGACTCACCTTTATAGACTCTACTAGCAGCCTATCAGCATATTTTTTGTGATCCAAGAGGGTTACCCGCAGTTAGGAGGCATGATCACAAAATACCCCTGAAAGATGAGAGCCAGGTTGTCAATTTGAGATCCTACAGATACTCAGGGTTATAAAAGGATATTCTAAAGACTAGTGGCTGAAATGCTGGAGGCAGGCATAGTGCAGCCCAACAATAGCCCTTTTGCCTCTCCAGTCGTGCTGGTGAAGAAGAAGGATCAGACATGACAATGTTGTGTTGATTTTTGATCTCTCAACAAAATCACTATCAAAGATAAGTACCCTATTCCTATAATAAATGAGTTGTTAGAAGAACTAGAAGGGGCGACCATTTTTTTAAAAATTAATCTAAGGGTAGGTTACCATCCGATTAAAATGGTTTCAGAAGATGTTTTTAAAACAGCCTTTAGAACACACAATGACCACTATGAATTCCTAGTCATGCCCTTTGGCCTATCTAATGCACCGGCCACCTTTCAAAGTCTAATGAATGATATTTTTTTAGATCATTTGAGGAAATTTATTTGGTTTTCTTTGATGATATACTAGTTTACAGTAAGACTATGACCGACCATATACAACACCTTAAGTTAGTATTTGAAGTGTTATGTACCCATCAATTAGTAACAAAGAGAAGTAAGTATGTTTTGGGACAAAACAGATGGAATACCTTGGACATGTGACCACCAAGGAGGGAGTAGCAATAGACCCACATAAAGTTACTGCTATCTTGCAATGGCTAGTACCTACAACCATCGAACAACTTAGAAGTTTCCTGGGCTTAACAGGGTATTATAAAAAGTTTGTGTAAGGTTATGGAACTATTTACAAACCTCTTACTCAGTTATTGTAGAAGGACTCTTTTATATGGACAGACACGGCTACCATAGCTTTCAAACAGCTCAAAGACACAATGTCCCAACCACTTGTGCTAGCCCTGCCTAATTTTGACAAAACATTTGTAGTAGAGATTGATGCTTCAAGAATAGGTATAAGGGTGATTCTGATGCAAGAAGGACACCCCATTGTATTTGTGAGCAAAGCTTTATGTCCTCGGCAGCTAGCCCTATTAACTTATGAGAGGGAGTTGCTGGCCATTGTCTTTGCTGTTACCAAATGGAAGCACTATCTATGAGGTAGACGATTTCTCATCAGGACAGACTTCTCCAGCCTAAATTTTTTGCTAGACCAGAAGATAACACATGTTGCCTAACAGGTATGAATATCAAAGGGGCAAAGACAACCTAGCTGCAGACGCCCTCTCCAAAGTTTCTCACAATGAGTTAGGTGCCTTAACCCTTTCTTTCATTTCCACAACTATTATGGAAGACATTAAGAAGAATTGGGACATTGATCAAAACCTGCAGCAGCTTATAGCAAACCTCATCAAGGATGCTAGCTCACACCCTAACTACTCATGAGTCAATGACACTATTATTCGAAAAGGAAAGGTGGTAGTGGGACAAGCACCGAACCTGCAGAACCAACTTATTAGACTCTATCATGACTCTGTAATGGGGGGCATTCAGTAGTTATGGTAACTTCAAAAAAATTAGGGCGGGTGTTCTATTGGAAGAAACTCTAAAGGCTAGTGAGGCAATACGTCAGGGAATGCCCAATTTGTCAACAGAACAAAGTTGATGTCAAGCCTCCAGGTTTGCTGCAACCGTTACCAGTGTCCTACGCTCTTTTTATAGATATTAGCATGGATTTTATTGATAGGCTACCTAAATCAGAAGGAAAGGAAGTAATCTTTGTGGTGGTCGATAGGTTTAGCAAGTATACCCACCTTATGGCCCTAACCCACCCTTACTTTGCCATTACAGAAGCCAAAGTCTTTATGGAAAATGCGTATAAGTTGCATGGGATGCCAACAACAATTGTGAGTGACAAGGACAACATCTTCCTCAGCCAATTTTGAAAGAGCTATTTAAATAGCAGGGGGTTAACTTGCAATACTCTATAGCCTATCATCCACAGTCTGATGGACAGACAGAGGTGGTCAATAAATGTATCAAGGGCTACCTAAGATGTATGATAGGAACCATCCCTGCATAATGAGGATGATGGCTAAGCTCTTATGCATGGTGGTACAATACGAACTACTATACCTCTACTAAGAAGACTCCCTACGAGATCCTATATGGAATGACGCCTCCAATTCACCTTCCCTATACACCTAAGGACTCACTAGTGGAAGCTGTGGACTAGTACTTAACTCAAAGGGAAGACATGTTCAAGCTCATCTGGAGCAACCTCCTACAGTCCCAAAACAGAATGACATAGCAAGCAAACACGAAAAAGAGCGAAAGAATGTTCTTTGAAGGTGACTTAGTTTATCTAAAACTACAATTATATCGACAACAATCGATTCACAAATGAAGCTTTTACAAATTGTCAGCAAAGTATTACGGTCCCTACACTATCATCAAGAAAATTGGAACAGTAGCCTACAAACTACAATTACCTGCTATTGTTGTGGTACATCCGGTATTTCATGTGTCCTAGCTAAAGAAACATGTAGGCAATCATGTTGTGCAGTCTGATCTCCCTGTTCTTTCGGAGAAACCGCTGCTGTATCCACATAAAATTATTGAAAGGAGAATGGTTAAAAGAGGAAATACTGTAGCAACCCAGTACTTGGTTTTATGGAAGAACTTACCTTTGACAGAAGCGACTTGGAAAGATGCGAAGGAGTTTAACTGGCGATTCCATCAATCTCACTTTGAGGATAAGGTTGATCTCATAGAAGAGGCATTGTCACAAGCAAAATGGAAGCGGACACAACCTTAAAAGAGGGAAGCTGAAGTAAAGCTTGAAATTTAAATACAAGACCTAACGACTACGTTTTGTGCATTTTCATTTTTATAACTGTAGCCTAGCTGGCAGGACCACGTGATTAATGCCATGCTGGTAATTGTATTTTTGTCTTTAAATTCCCTAATGGTTGGAACAAAATAGGTGTGGAAAATTATAACAGAATTTTTAGATTCTCTCCTCTGTCCTTTCTCTCAACACGTCATGAACGTGCAAATCTTTCTTCTTCTTTCTACAACGTCCTTCTCCCTAGTTCTTCCACCGTTCTATTCGAAACTTTCCTATTAATTTGCAGCAGTGTGGAGCGTTTTACTTCGAGATATTTTTTTCTCACAAGTGCAGCTTCCTTCGTCTCCTTCTTGATCCTAGAGGAAGATTCTTCTTAGTCGAGATGGCACAAAGAAATATTTGTCTCTTGCATTAGTGATATAGTAATAGAGCAACTATTTTTATTTGGTTGGATTATTAATTGTTGAATGATGATTGAATATGTGAAATTTTATCTTTTAGAGTTCTTAAATGATGCTTGGGCTCTATCTTAAATTTTTTAAAATAATATTTTTTTTATAATTTTTTTTATATATTATTTTAAAATTTTATTTTTTATGTTGAGCTGACTTTTCTATCCAAAATATACTTAACAAAAATACATATAATTTTTTAAAATAAATATAATTATTCAGCAATATATATCCATTTGATTGCTTATATTTTGTTTTTTAATTACATGTTAATAAATATAGTTATTGGCATATGAAACTACTTCCTTGACGCAGTCCACATTTCTCCTCTTGCATACAAACACAAAAAGGAGATGAGAAGGGATTTAGACATTCACAATCCTAAGAACTAAGTACTTAATGCTTGCTGAACTTTTGTGATTGATTGAGTGAACTAGGCTCCCAATTCATCAGTATAGTTATAATTCCCGACTCAGTTTAAAATCATGAACTCTACAGATTATTATTTTTTAAAAAAAATCAGTATAATGTTGTTTTTAAAACTATCATTCCAGCTCAGACCAAGTCGGTGGATCAACATATTAACATGGCCCATAAATACTCAATCAATTTGCTCGAAAAGTCTTAGGGTGTTGCTCCGTCGAAGACCTTGAAAACAAAAATTGGAAGACAGGGAGGACAAGAGACGGCAACCTGGAAGTGGTCATTGCCTGCATGTCTTGGTTGACCCATCAGTTGATCAACTAATAATTATCAAGGACTAGCAGAAGAGAGAGCACAATTACTGTCTTTCTCATCTATACTTGAAGAAGAAATTGGTTGGTGACCCCAGTTTCCGCGTTATTTGCTGTATCCCACTAAGCAGCTCATAGCAATATTTATTTCCAGGCACAAACTGCAAGTATCTTCTATCTTTCCCTTCTCTTTATTTTATTATGTGCTTGGAATTGTAGGGCTTTTGCTCTTTCTTACTCCCTTTTATGTTTATGGCCAGATCTCTTCTTTAGAAGAAAAGAGAAGAAGAAGACATTAATAATCCAAAGAGGTAGGTAGATATATCGAATTGAAGAAGAAGGAAAGGTAAGGTTGAATCTTTGCAAGGGAGATGGGGTTGAATCAGTGTTTTTCATTTGTCTTCTTCATCTTCCTCTTGATGGGTCTCTTTGCTTCTCCTTCTTTTGCGTCTACTTTCATTTCAGGTACCTCCTTTCAGTTTCAAAATCCTTACTTTTTGTTTATGTTACAAAGATCGATGTTATTCATTGCTTTTTGTCTTTTTTTGTTAATTTGGGTGCAGATGGTGTCTTTGAATCTCATGCTTCTACTGGCAGGAATCTACTTCAGACTAAGAAAGGTTGCCTTTTTTGCCACTTTTTTGCCTCGCTTTATTTGCTCGCTTCTAGTCAAGTTTTGTTTTGGGTTCTCCAGATTGTGATCGCCACTATGTTTTCTTCTGCGATCGAAGTGATTTAAGCGATGACTGCATATTTTGTTGATCTCTGATGCATGCCAATGAGTTTTCCATTGCTGATTTGTTCATTTAAGATGCGAAATGTTGTGTTTGTTGTCTTGACGACTGCGTGTTCTTGCCAAAAAAGCCCGCAATTGTATTCCAGAATTTGATAGGTTGTATCAGTCTGCTTTAGATGGCGTGCTGATGGCAATGTATTGTCTTTCTTTATCTGCAGCTTGCCCTGTAAACTTTGAGTTTCTGAACTATACAATCATCACAAGCCAATGTAAAGGACCCCAGTATACTCCCAGTCGCTGCTGTGGATCATTTAAGGAGTTTGCCTGTCCTTACGCAGATGTGCTAAATGACTTGACCAATGATTGTGCATCAATCATGTTCAGCTACATTAACCTTTATGGGAAATATCCGCCTGGTCTCTTTGCCAATGAATGCAAGGAAGGGAAGCTGGGACTTGAATGCCCTGCACCACCACCATCAGAAGTGGCTGCTGACAAAAATGGGAGCCAGATCATGCGTGGTCCAATTCTCCTGCTGATGTTCTTAGCTGGTTTCGTAATGGTGTTCTTTCAATTACTTTGAAGGCCCCAAAAATGTTTTTTACCTTTCTTTTTCTCTCCAATAATTTCTTTTTAACCTTGGTATGGAGGATTTTCGTTGCTTTCTGACGCTGCTATCTCTAAAACTGCTCATTTAGGCATGCTGAAAGAAATCAAATTATTTTTAGGCTTGTAATCTTCTAGTCCCCAGTGGAAGGGACTGGAGCCCGGTTGTATCAAGTGTGAAGTTGTGTATTTTTACCCATATAAATACTTCAAATTTTAAATTTTGTCTAGGGCCATGCCAAAATTGCTTGTTTTCATATGATGTGGACCTGGCATGGCGTTGTCTTCATATGTATCATTTTTATCTCTCGATTTTGTTTGTGTGGCTATGGATAGATGATACCACGTTGATAAAAAATCATACAATATCAGCAAAAACAGTCATCCTCGCGTAGCTGGAGATATTTTTAAGTTTCAGCTAGTTGTAGAAGACAACTTCATCCTTGACTAGCTGCTTAAAGAACCTCGTCATTATCATCCATTACGGCTACCTCATGGCCTCATTTCTAACAAGATCTCCTCTTCCCATGGACAGAAATCTACTTACAACTTCAACTAGAACACCAACTACCATTATCTCACTTAGAACGTGCCACGACATACAGGAAGTGAAACAATTACATGCCCGCTTTGTTGTGTCGGGACTCCTTGGTTATCATCCTTTATGTGCCAGGAGGCTCCTCGAGGCTTATGTTACCAAGTCACAGATTTATTATGCCGTTTCGATCTTTGAGAGAATACCTTCTCCTGATGTGTTTGTTTATAACACCATGATTAGAGGCCTAACAATGGGTAAGTTTCTTCATGATTCTTTGTTACTGTATAAAGAATTCCTGTTTGGGTACCTTGTACCAGACAACTTCACTTACACCTTTGTCCTTAAAGCATGCTCCCATTTGAAAGCTCCTTTTGAAGGTAAACAAGTGCATTGCCAGATTATTAAGGCAGGAATAGTACCAGATACTCATATCCATAGCTCCTTAATTCATATGTACACTAATTCAGGAAGCATAGACGATGCAGAACGTGTTCTTGGAGAATTCTCGGAAGAGAACACACTTGCTAAGAATGCCTTGATTTCAGGTTACTTGACCGAGGGTCGTGTAGACAAGGCTAGAAAAATGTTTGATGACATGGCAGCGAAAGATGCAGCATCTTGGAGTGCATTAATAACGGGATATACAAAGAATGGTATGCACACTGAGGCATTAGCTCTTTTTCAAGACATGATGGTTTCACACATCCTGCCAAATGAAGCAGCACTGGTGAGCCTGCTCTCTGCCTGTGGACAATTAGGAACATTGCATCAGGGAAGATGGATACATGCGTACATTGATAAAACTAGAGTTTTAATGAGCACTAAACTCACCACTGCTCTCATCGATATGTATGCCAAGAGTGGAAGCATTGAGTGTGGCTATGGATTATTTCAGAAAATGGCCTGGAGAGACGTTGTATCTTGGGGAGTTATGATTTCAGCTTTTGCCATCTATGGCCATGCTAGCAAATGTTTTCAACTGTTTGATGAGATGCTTGCTGATGGGATCCGTCCAAATAAAGTCATATTTGTGGCCATACTTTCAGCCTGCTCTCATGCTGGTCGTGTTGAAGAAGGACGACAATATTTCAGTCAAATGGAACATGATTTCGGAATAAAACCATCTATTGAACATTATGGATGCATGGTAGACCTCCTTGGCCGTGCCGGGCTCCTGGCAGACGCAGAAGAACTAATCCTTTCAATGCCAGAACAGCCTAATTCGATCATCTGGGGTTCATTGCTAAGTGCTTGTAGAACTCATAATGACCTCAAGAGAGGGACTTGGGCCTTTGAGAACTTGATGGAGCTTGAGCCGACATCAGGGGACCGGTACAAGTTAGCAGGGCTCATGTTTGCTAATGCAGGAGAGAAGGAAGAAGCTACTAAGATAAGGAAGATGATCCATGAGAAAGACATGGAGACAACTTGTGGATCTAGTTTCATTGAGGTGGAAGGCGCGGTCCATGAGTTCACAGTGGGGTATACTGCTCATAATAAAGCAAGAGACATATGAAATACTGCAAGGTGTCTATACAGTTCGAGACTGCTAATGATTTTTCTTCCAAGTCTGCATACAGAGCAAAACAAAGAGGGCAAGAGGACATAGATTCATGCCTTTTGTTTCGTGGATATTGGGCATTATCCATTCCATTACCTCCACGTTACTTGTTCTTAATCAATTCAATATGAAAGGCAAGTTGGAACAAAGAAACTGTGAATCATGCCCACTTCATCACAAACTAGAGTTAATAAACTGACTTCCAAGTTCATGTTTCCAAGATAGATCACAAGCAGGAAACAATATTCATTAGCTTTGTTTACATACTCAGTTTTGATATGTATACACATACAGCAACAAACTCTTATTTGAGGATGCTCATATTCCAAGAATAAACCGACCTTGCAAACGGAACTAAGGTTTCCCTAGCAATGTGGATTTTCGAGTACATTCTTTTAAGCAACCTCCTCACAGAAAGAAGATTCAAGACAAACTTTAGAAAAAAATGAAAAAGTAAAATTGAAATATAAATAAATAATTTTGGCAATCTTCATCATGTGAGCAGAGTTTGGTTTCTTTCCCACTGCTTCTTTATTATAGATGATAACAAGGCCCCTGGAAGCTGCTGAATCTATACAAGCCTGCTTTACCATGCAAGTGTAAATCTGGACTTCCGTCTAAATTGTTTTTTCGTCACACACCAGGACCCAGGAAAGGTGCTCAACTGTATAGAAAGAAAGGTGAGGTAAGGTCTTCACATGGGAAAATGGAGTGGTGGTATGTGACCCAGACCAAGACGCTTGACACTCCAAGTCATCAAACAACGCCAGAGTCGAGAAAAGGTGAATATTGTATCATGATCATGAATGAAAGTCAAAATTGAGAGAAGACCAAGAGCCCAATAGTTGTGCAGAAACCAATTATGGTCACTTCAGGATGTACAGCAACTAAACATAACAGTTGTGAATATGTCCAGTTTTGCGTGATCTAAATAATTGGTGATGAAGTAACTTACATTGCCAATAAGCTTTGCCCCAATCCACGCACTGTCTGCGCCATAAGGAGGAGAAATGACTCTTATTCCATTAGAAATGGATGGGGGAAGAAGTCCATGCAATTCCTTCTCTAGCCTTTCTGGAAACAGTGTAAAAATATAGGTTCATATACTTCATTAGCACGTGTCCTTGCTAATTTTATTCAATTTCTTAACTTTCTAGATGAGATTCTTGTGCCAAACCAATCATTATTTATAATTCTTTTTTTTTTTTTTACCTGCAAGTCCTGGGAGACATGCAGTCCCTCCTGACAAAACTATAGTCTTGAACCAAGCATCATCTTCAGTTAATTCCACAGCATGACAGTGGTCCATGCAAAGAGCTACTGCCTGCTGCAAACCCATTGCACGCCTATACCATGTGCAAATGAAAACATTTCAGTCTACCGTCATGGTTTTATTGTTTTGGTGGTGTAAGGCACAAGAAATATTTTGGTTGTTGGATTGTTAAATAATGTGAAATTGAAAATATGGACATGATGCAGGCTAAAGGCATCAATTTAAATGAAAACATGCAGTGCTGGATTCCAAATATACACGTTAGGGTTTGAAAAACAGTGAAGTTTATCCAAGAACCACATCAATATGAGATTTATTCCAAGCAAACAAGTTTTGTGGTCAAATACAGCTTATCCAAGAACAACATCAGAATGAGAAAGCTTCAAAAAAGAGTCCAATGAAAGTAGTGGATTGTGGGAAGATATGCACTTACACTCCAGCAATACATGGCTGGAATAGGACCTCCCCTGTTTTAAAGCGCTCCTTTGAAAGAGTGAACCATCCTTCTCCAGGTACTTCAAATGATGCTTGAGTATCTTTATACAGCTCAGCTTCAAAATCAGCAGCTACATAACATAGATTCTGTATTTTCATGGTTCCAACAGATCATGAGAAGAAAAAGGTTCACCATTGAAATAACAATACAAAGTTATCAATACAGCTAATTAGAACTTAGTTGTGAAGGGTGGGAAAACTAGTCGGCCTTGAATTTGCCCAAGTTCAGTAGAAGATTAAGCCACATTATGCAGCATGACAAGAAACACTGAAACAGTATACCTCTTTCAATGTTTGAACTGTATGGAGTGATTCAAAATTAAGATTATTCCGCTGCATCTGTTCTCTAAGGAATCCTGTTACTTTTAATGCTCCCACACCCATGACTTCCACACCCACTGTGCGCATTACTTTACCATGTAAAACTGTAAAATGCAAAAGTCAGTATGCCAAAATCCTAAATCCCTATGATTTTGCAGCATACCAGTTAGAAACAAGATTATTAGAGAATGTAGAAACTTATAGAAAGCAAGCGCAGCATGCAAGAGCCCAGAATACCAAGCATATTACAGATTGCACGAGACAGGTTGAAACATGTGCAATTGATTAACAAATTTGGAAAAAGAAATCAGAAAGAATATAAATGACACATCATCAATAACCACAGAAGTCTACAAATCCTCTAATCATAAATGTGAGCACAAGAAGGATAGCATGGTTAGCATTAAGAATACCAAAGTCTATTTCTAGTTCAATTTATGCAACATATGCCTCAGATCAAGTTCCAAACAATGAGGGCATTTTGACAGAAAAGAAAATAATCACTTACTTGGAACAACAGATGTGACTTGAAAACCAATATTAACAACGATTCCTGAAGTTCGTTGTGCTGCATACAGTGCTAAAGTTGCCTGTGTTTATCAACAAACATATTACATTAATGTTAAAAGATAGGCAGAACAATGCCAGAACCTTTACATTCTCTCACTGTATTAACTAGGAAATGCTAACACTCACCAACAAAACATGTAACAGAATAAGTTTTCCCACATTTCAAGATGGCATGAAATTGCATTTCATACAGCTGCATAGCAGAAACTTCCTATTTGTAGAAATCTTTTCCATGCAATGATAATTAGTCTCTGGCATCCTTGATAAGTCCCATTTACTTTAACATATATATCAATTTGACCGGTTCAAAACATTGAGAAACTAGAGGAATAAGTTGACAAATAAAGCCAAACACACCTGATTAATGGCACAAACAGCTGGAACTTTCATGTCAAAAAGAGCTGTGTAGATAGTGTCTTTTAGTTGCCTTCTTGATGCTCTAGCAGATTCAGTATCTGCAATCATAAAGATTAGAGCAAGTTTAGAGAAATAGGGTATATAAGACCACCCAATCTAAGTTCTTGACATTGGTCAGACATCATTAGAATTATTTCACCCTAGGTAGATAATAGAATAATGTCATCAGTTTCAAAAGCTCTAAAATACAATGAAAAAAATTGTGCAAGTGACATTCCTCAAAGTAATTTAGTTGAAGTGATAGCTAACCATCATAATGGCAAAGTGGAAGGGAGACGACAATGGGATGTGCAGATGCTTTCACCTGCATCCTGTAAAGACTGGAGATATTTTCAGCCCGTAAAGTTCTAGAGGCCATAAAGAATGAAAAAAAGCCTAAAAGGGGCAACAAAGCAAAAATAGGTTTATATATTGAGGATTAAAACCAGCATCCCAGAAGTTAAAAATGTAATTAACACTATCGGTTTTCCAATGGAACTTTTATAAATCCTCCCAAAAGTGTTTCTTTAGAAAACAAGTTTTTTTACATGCAACGCAAGTTCACACACACACACACACACACTGAGATAAAAATGAAAAGGGGACATTTGAAAAGTGGAATTGGCTAACAAATTTCAAGAGAGAGAGGACAGACCTGCTATAAATAGTAGCAAAAAAATGTTGAAGCCTGGAGTACATTGGAGATTCAATGTTGCCAAATTCCTGCTCGCCAGGTAATTTAATTACATATTGTCGAAAATTAAGAAAAATCCACCTTGGTAATTATGAGAAATGCAAAAGATTTTCCTTCTGGAAAAGTTTCTTCCACAAATGCCAGAATGGCTAGTTACAAGAGAAAGCTCACCAAAAAAGTAGCTGACCGTCCAGACGGACAAGCATTTTTGCTCCAGCCATATTTGCAGTGGCCTGAACCACCTTTATCAAGAAGATTATAGAATAAAAAAAATGCGTAAAATCTTTCAAAAATATCGGTTTAAATAGAATGATTAATCAAGATGGTTAAGCAATGGAATTAGTCCTTTTACATATATAATGCTTACCATCAACAATAACAGCACCGGGGACTTGCAACCGTTGCCCATATATACGCATGAATGACAGCTCTGTTATGGGACTAGAGAATGTCCTGTAATAAAATCACAAATTCATTTCACATATTTTAAAAGAAGTACTAAAAAAAACCCTTCAAATTTCCAATTCCAATACAAGTCTCACATTTTCCACTAATCTCTCTCCAAAAACAAATCCCAGTTCTATTCACTCACAGTCAAAATCACTCAATCATCCACAACTAAGCAATCGATAATTGAAAAACATTTCACTTTTACTATATAGTTTAACGTTCTCAGAAAAACAATGATTATATATTTCACAAAAAAGAAGAAGCTTGAAATGAAAATTGAGAAACTCACTGGATAGGATACCCGGATCGGAGATGAGTCTCAACAAAAAAAACAGAATCCCAGGTATCATGATAATTTAGAAGAAAGTAAATCCACAGGCGATTATCAGATACAAGTGGTCTCCATGACTTGCATACTACACTCAATCTTGCGGCATCTTTTGGCCCCACCAATCTGACTATTTGCAACACCACATCAATCGGTAGCCTATCAAAAGCTCCCAAAGATGATGATGATGATTCTGTGTAACTCGGTGGAGTCGTCACCGGGTCAATGCTCGAACTCGAGAAAGAGGTCGCCCTATTCGACATCGATTGCCACACTTTCTTTAATAGCATCGCCATAGCAGAAATGGTTCTTCGCTGTTTCAATTCAGGGTGGCGAGATTCAATGAGTTTTGCGGGAAAGTTCTGAGCTTTTGGTGTTTTTTTTTGCGCGTTTTGTAGGGGAAAAGGCACGAAGGAAGAGCGAAGGAGGTGAATTTGGAGGAATCGTCGAGGTGGATGTGTGCAAAAGGAAGGACTAGTTAACACCGACGTGGATGGATATGATATCGACACGTGGATGAAAAGCCGCAAGATTGCAAAATCCATGAGCGAAGTCCATTTATTTAATGTTTGCGATTCTCTTTCAATGCATGAGATTTTCCCTTACATAGCTTGTCGAATCTCTTACATGAGGGGTTGATGATTTCCCAGACAAAGAGATTCATGAACACTGTTCTTGACTTGGAGTCATGATTTAAGAATTATGACATTTTAATTATGAACTAGTTTTGAACTGAAAGAGATGGAGCGCTGCCTCATACACTTGGAAAGCATCATCACCGGCCTTCACTCACCGATGTTTTTATGTTTTAAAATTATTTTTTAAAATTTTTATTTATTTATTTTTTAAATTAAATTTTTTTAATATTTTAATATGTTAATATTAAAAATACTTATTATTTATTAAGTTGTTTTTGAGTTATTCAAATCACTTATATAATAGATATAGCAATTCTCACACTCAGACTGGGTAATAAATAAGATCAAAAAGTTTTTTTTATTAATTTTATTCTTAAATTTTTTAATTTATTTGATTCATTAAAAATAATTGATCGAGTCTGTTAAGTTATATTAAGGCAACTTCAATTAGATAAGAAATCAATTACATGATTGATCTGCTAGATCAATTTTAATAATAATATAAAATAATTTATTATGATATGTATATATTCTTGTTACGTTTAATTTATTTTTTTAATGTAGCGCCTGTTAACATCTAATTTCGAAGGCTGGGAACATGCATTCATTTTTGGATGGATTGGTATCTACTTGTTTCATACGAAGTTAGAATTAAAAATCTAGTCTAATCAACAGATTATTTACAGTTCACAGTCTCGACAAATAAGCTATGGGATAGAGGTGGAGCGTTGGTGAATTTATAAAGATAAAAATAAAGTCTCCTATTTTCTATGGTTCATTATAATTCGACAATATCTATTATAATCAAGATTAATGGATCCTAGGGAGACCATTTTTATATGAACTGGGTGCAATTTATATCTGGCTACAAACAAAAGAGAGAGAATTCAAGGAACCTGTCAGTTGCATGTGTGTGATATCATTATAATTATTCAATCACTTCCATGAATATATATAGAAAACATTTATTAAAATTATAAAAATAATAAAAAATTTACTTTATTTATTTTTAATTATCCAAAATATAACATTACACATAATATATATTTTAAATATTAAATTTTTTTAGATGCTAAAATGATTAGATTTTACCCCATCACTATAATAATTTATTTATTATGAAAGATTTTTTTTAAAATTTCAGACAAATAAACAATTAAAAAAATACAATAAAACTATATTTTTTATCAGATAATAAAATAATATAACTTTTTTTAATTAATTTTTTTATATATATATTCTTATTTTTGATGTGAAAATCCAAAAATAGATTAATATAGCCTCTCAAAAATATTATTTAAATCCCATGAATAATATTTTTCCAGTTGATTTGGATGTTAAATTCTATTTATTTCTTGTATTTTTTTTTAATATTAAACTATTTATGTCCATTGTGCTATAAAAGATTTTTTCATAACAATAACTCGAGGCTATTTATATTCATTGTATTTTTCTTGAGTCAGTTTATGCCTCTATTAAAATTAACTTTTTATGATAATCTTAGAGACATGTAAAAATATATCTTTACATTGGCATGGTAGGGTTAGATGAATGAATTGTTTATTTATGATTTAATTAATTAATTAATTAATTAATTCTTGTTCTCATTGTGGAAATAAAATAAATAAACAATAAAACCGTAATTTATTATTATTATTATTATTTAGCCTCTGATATTCTTCCTCTTTCTAGATCGACAAAAAGAAGCTTCCTTTCTCTGATCCCTAAATTTGCAACTCTCACATGCAGGTGCAATTTCTCATGTCCATGCCCTATTTCTCTTCCCCGATCTTAATGCTCCTCAATTTTTCTATTGTTAACTTCCAAGACTCGATCACAATTCCTTTTTCTTTATCTTCTTTGGTTTTCTTTGTTATAAAGTTTCTCAATTTAGGGTTTCTATCGATTCTCCTGGTCTTGGTTTGTGATCCCTTTTTGTATTTGTAATCGTAATTAAGCTGGGGTTTGATTTTCTCTCATAATCTTATTGAAATTTGTTGAAAGTTTGGGGCTTTGAAATTCATTTTGTGTTTTGGTGAATTGAGGTTTTGATTTTCAGGTACCAGGATTGTTTAATAATGTTCTTTTGTTTAGGATTTGAGAAATTATGAGCTAATTTTGAGATTTTTACTAAGTAATTGAAAATATAAATGGGGAACCTGGAAGGATTTAATTGCTTTTTAATCAATTTTAGTTTAATGCATTTTAGAGAGATATGATGGAATGTTGTAATTCCTAACCTATCGAACACAATAGGTTGATTTCTTTGTTCTTTTTTATAGCACCCTCTAATTGCTGGTTCCTGGGTGTTATTTTTTTGTTGTTGTGAATTAGTTTACTATATTTTATCAGTGTCTGTCATAGTGCAATTGTTATTGGTTATTTAACATTTAATTCCACCTCAAGTGTCTATTGTGCTCCAACAAGCAGTGAAAAGTAGCTTGTTCCTTGAATAAATGATTGTTATTGTTTGTTTCTTCAATGTATCATCATGCGATATGAGAAAATATATCTGGATGTTCTGTTTTAGTAGTTTTTTGCTGCAAATTTGTTGTACATCTTATACAAGTGAAATTATGTGCTCTTTACATGTGGACATTTGTACAATCCTTTTTTTCTTATAGACAACAATTCTACAGCTTTACTATTTTTTCAAGCATTTTAATTTTTTAAATTCTGCTATTGGTCTGTGTTAATTTTGCTTTGTGGTTATGTTAGTTCTTGTTGATGCGTGATTGATTGACTTGAGTTGATATTGATATTGTTGGGTAGCTGTGGAATCGTTAGTAAAATATGTCCCATTACCAAGGAGATGATGCTGAATACATGGCAGAGGAATATGAAATGGAAGATGTTGATGATGACATGAACAAAGAATTTCATGCTAGGGTGATGGGCTCAAACTCTGATGTTGATGAAAATGACTACATGGTTTGTGATCTCTACTACATTATTCTTACAGGCAATCCTAGACAATTATTGCCGCTGTTACTTTGGTGGTTTAGAAAAAGTAGCATTTTTGTGTTGTTCTGCTACAGAATAACAAAGTAGCTGACGTGTCTACTACCAACACTAGAAACGAAAAAGACATCTAAGGAATTCCTTGGGAAAGGCTTAGTGTTACTAGAGAGAAATACAAGCAAACAAGGCTAGAACAATACAAGAACTATGAGAACATACCACTGCCGACACTAGAAACGAAAAAGACATCTAGGGAATTCCTTGGGAAAGGCTTAGTGTTACTAGAGAGAAATACAAGCAAACAAGGCTAGAACAATACAAGAACTATGAGAACATACCCCATTCTGGGGAAGTTTCAAGAAAGGTGATTTCTGATTTCATCTCTTTTCTAAATGCTCCGTGTCAGCAAGATTACTTAAAAAGTTCCATACTCTCTTTTGCTGCATGCAGGATTGCAAAATTACTAAAAGGAGGGCTTGCATTATGAGTTTAGATGAAATTCTACATCTGTCAAATCAACCATTCTTCATTTTCAGGTTAGTGAAGAGCCAGTTTTTTCTACAGTGAAAATTATGACAAATCATGGAGTCAAAATCTAATGGATTTTAGATTTATGATTGAGGGAAGATAAGCATGAAGTAATTGTGATTTTTGAGTGACTAACAAACATTTATCTGTGATTTTGGGTGATGCTGTTAAGGAACTTGGTTTGGGCCACAACAAAGCATGATGTCTACCTCGTGTCAAATTTCTCTGTCACTCATTGGTCCTCCTTAACTTGCAATAAGTTTGATGTTCTTGATGTTTATGGACATGTGGCACCAACTGAGGTCAGTTTTTGTGACACTTTCTTTATCTGTGATGCAGATTGATATTTAGATTTGATTTCTTCCATGAAATTGATCAATTTATTCTATCTTCTAGAAACATCCTGGAAGTCTGTTGTAAGGATTCACAGAGACTTAAGTTAGTACTCTAGCAGTATAAGGTAATTTGCTAGTTGTTGGAGGGTGCCAGGGAGAACTCATTTGCAAGGTAAGTTCAGAATCTTTCTTTTGCAAGTCTTTTTTCTTGAAATTGGTAAGAGACCATTGTTAGTAGATAAATGCCACTTGTATGAGGTGATAATACTTTATCTGCTTGTAGTGTCAGTCGAAAATTAAAAGTTTTTCATTAAGATTTTTGGAAACTATAATCATGTCACCTCTTAGATTTGATTTTAATGATTTCTCTGGTAGTAACAAACAAAGGCTAACAATCAAGTTTTTTTTTTGGAATGCAGCATCTAGATCGGCCTGAAGTAAGTTTTTGTTCCAGAATAACTTATGATGATAATGTCATCACCAACGCTATTGAGATTTATGACAATCCAAGGTATTTATTTTCCATGCTGATGGTGGCCTATAACGTTTCAATGCAGAAATAACCTACCTTTGTTGTTTAGATTGCCAGTGGTGCAGTTCACTTCACTGCTTTAAACAATGACTGTGGAGTTAGAGACTTTGATATGGAGAAATATCAGCTTTCAAAGCATTTATGTTTTCCTTGGCCGTGAATATGAGTAAATAATACCTAGTTTGGTTATTGGCCATGTTATTTCTTGTACTTGTAACCCATGCTCTACAATTTATGATACTTGGAACTCTTACACTAATTACTCTAACAATGCCACTCATAGTTTCTCCTCTATCACCACATGCAAATGGGTATTATGGAATTAGTGGCCTTCTAGATAAAAGGTTGGATTCCTCTTATAGAAAGAGGAGATCAAATTTTAGTAATAAATCTAAATTTTGTTTTCCACAAATACAGATTAGTACTGCACCTAAAATGTCAGGTTGTCTTCTTAGATTAACTAGTTCTGAGCCTTTCAAATTGCTCTTGGATCATCCATTGGGATTTAGTTTATTGTTGCATC